TGCGCCCCGAACCTCTTGTCATAGCTGAAGAGTCTAAATCAGACATGTTTACGAAGTTCTTTGTACTTCATTCAGAAAATGATCAGCGTCCAATGTCCAAGCTGTAACCTTTTGCTGTTCCGAAAGCCCGTGGCTCGTGCCTTGGAGACGATAAAAATGCAAAAAAAAACTGTATTCCGGAGATCTGCTTGTGGAAGTAAACTCGAAGAAACAAAACCTTGCTTTGCCCACCTTGAACACCATTGGAGATTTAAAGTCACAGTGTCTCCTCACCGCATTTTAAACACCATTTGTGGGGTCATCTCTGAGGACGACCTGCTGCACAGCAGCGAAGAAGAGATCCTTAAAGCCCTCCGCTCTTCTGGAGTAGTTGCCGTAAAGAGGATCATGTTCCGGAAAGATGGATCAGAAACTCCCACTAAACATCTCACAGTCACCTTTGAGCGTCATTGTCTCCCTGCGTCTTTAAAGGCTGGCTACATAAACTGTCGCGTTCGGCCGTATATCCCAAACCCTCAAAGGTGCTTTAGGTGCCAGCGGTTTGGGCACGGCTCACGCAGCTGCCGTTGAAGACACACATGCGCAAAATGTGGGAGCACGGAGCAAGAAGCTGATGTGTGCGAAAGGTCACTGTGTTGTGCACACTGTAAAGGACCCCATCCAGCATACTCACGTGCATGCCCTCTGTGGAAGCAGGAGAAAGAGATCTTGACTATCAAAACAAAAGAAAACATCAGTTACCCAGAGGCCAAGAAACGCTACTCGTTTCAATCATTGGGCTCCTACGCTGATGCCGTGCGCCGGGGACCTGCACGGCCAACAGCTTCAACGGGAACACAGACGTCCTTGGACGGTTTGTGTGACCCTTTTTTGTCCCCCTCAACCTCAGCTGGAGCGGTGCTAGCATCTCCGCCTTCGATCCGAAAGGTGGATGGCGGTCCGTCGGGATCCACTAAAAACCAAGCACAGGGGACTGTGCCTTGTGCACCCCCTGCAGCCCTGCCACCTAAATGCCGTGGTATCTCTCGTGCCACTGGTGGCTCCCGTATACATGGCCAGCCGCCTGGGCTGGAGAACCCTAAGGGTCTTCCAGCAGCGGCTCCAGATGAACCGATGGGGGGGGGGGGGGGGGGGCGGGCCCCAGTCCCAGGAGGACAGGCCCCACTAGAGTTCAGAGTCATTACCCTCGGCCACCTGTGATACTACAGGTAGGCAGAAAGATACGTCCAAAAAGAAAAACGCACATCGAAATAAAATTGACTGCTAAGTTCAGCTAGGCAGTTTCTGAAAAATACCACCTTACATACGATGGAAGAAGTCCTCCTCCAATGGAACTGTCGAGGATTGTTTCATAACTATGGTGATGTGTGCTATTTGTTAGACCATCATCACCCATTCATCTTTTGCCTTCAAGAAACCCATTTAAATCAAAACCATTCTGGATTTTTAAGGCACTTTCATGTTTTTCGAAAAGACCGTCTCCACTCTTCCCACACCTCAGGTGGGGTAGCAATAATGGTTCAGCAATCTACTCCATGCGTTGAGGTACCCCTTAATACTACATTGGAGGCTGTGGCAGTTCGTGTTTTGTCTGACCGTTTGATGACATTAACTGTATTAATGAACAAGTCTTCACCAAGAAAGTCGTAAACGTAGACAAATGTTTGAACAGCAGTAGAGGCTTTAATACACGACGTTTCGGGAAGAGACTTCCCTTCTTCAAGTGTGCAGAAAATACAGTTGCAAGGCGCTTTTAGAGAGACCAAAGGAGAGGAGGAACATTCAAAAAAGCGAAAGAAAAAAGTCATATATATAATAGTACATGTAAAAACACTTGAGCATGAAAAAACTACATTCCAACAAAACAAACATAAAAAGAAAGAGGAGAAGTAGTAGTTTTAAGGGTAACACGGTCGCGGCACTCGTTAGCGAAACCAAGAAAATACATCACAGGCAACGGCCTCCGTCAAGTTAGAGTTAGAGCTCCAGATCCAGAAAAATAACAACATACAGGGGTCAAGTCGAGTGAGCCCAAGCCAGTATAACGCCGAAGCAAACGAAGGTCATAAATAAGCCCGAAGTGTGTGCAAACGGACACCAGAAATGTCACACGTGGGTGGCACCGCTCAACAGAATACCGAGAAATACTCCTTGAAACGCCTCCCAACACGATCTCCCTCCTCCCCGCAAAAAAAAAAAAAGTAAGAGGAGGGAAGTTACCGGGCGACGTCCCCACATCCCAATGTTTCTAGCTGTCCCCTCAAAGAGCTTTAGCTCTCCCCCGCTCTCCTCTGCGATGGGGGAGGTGGTTTGCCTGTAGTATACTAAAAACTAAAGACCTACAACAGCCTATACAAGTTTCCTTTTGAAATGTTCATACCAAGCGGGGTTAGGGCTCTAAATTTAGATATATAAAAGGACTCTTTATTTTTGTGCGTAATATCATTTTTGAAACTACTTTCCACGATGATAATTTTTAGGTGCGTATGAATGTCGTGGTCGTCGGAGTTAAAGTGTTTAGCTACTGGTGTTTGTCCTTTATTTACAATGTCAGACTCTTGGCCATAAAATCGCTCTTTCATAGAATTTTTAGTTTCTCCTACGTATTGCTTCTTACACAGCGTGCAGTTAATAATATATATCACGTCAGGGGTTTTGCAGTCGATATGCTGTTTATTATTTACGTAGAAATCTGATGCGGGAGGAATTGACCCAGCTTGAAAACCGAAATTTTTATCTACGTCTACCTGACGATCCTAGACGGCGGTTTAGTATTATAATTAACAAAACACTTGAAGATCTGCGTAATTCCAATAATATTAACGGCGATCAATATAATTACCTTCAGTCAAAAAACCCTCATCCAGGTGTCTTCTATATGCTCATCAAGGTTCACAAGCCCAACAATCCAGGGAGGCCCCTTATATCAGGCATAGGCACACCAATCGAACGAAATTCAGAATTTGTAGACCACGGTATTAAACATATACCCCCCTCCTACAATCCTACGTAAAGGACACCACTCACTTTCTTAATCATATCGACCATATGAACGGATCCGGCTTAATATCACAGGAGAGCATTCTGGTCACTATCGATGTGAGCTCTTTGTACACTAACATCCCACGTAATGAGGGACTGGCAGCCGTGGAAGAATTCCTTTTTCTTCACCCTTCGTCTCTCGCAGACAGTAGCTGTATTCTGCGATTATGGGAATTAATTTTAGACTGCAATAACTTTATGTTTGATGATGATCATTATTTGCAAATTCAAGGCGCAGCCATGGGGTCGAGAATGTCCCCAAATTACGCTAATATTTTTATGGGCAAGTTTGAGGAGACCTTTGTGTGGACTTACGCCAAGATTCCCGCCATATATCTTCGGTATATTGACGATATATTTATCATTTGGAATGACACTGAAGATGCACTCCTCTCTTTTCTAAGTTACCTCAACGGTTGCAACCGTACAATTAAATTTACCTGTAATTACTCAGCAGACTCTCTGAACTTTCTCGACGTTAACGTTAAAAAGATGGGAAGCCATTTGATAACGGAGTTGTACAGAAAGCCTACAGACAAACGTCAGGTTCTGCGCTATGACAGCTACCACCCGAAATGTCAAAAAAATAATATACCTTACAGCCAATTCCTCCGGGTGCGTAGAATTTGTTCTGAAGAATCGAACTTTAAGGAAAACGTAACGTCCTTGAAGAATACACTATTCAAAAGAAAATATCCTGCATCTATTCTCGACGACGCCACAAGAAAGGCATCCGCTCTGGAACGTAGCACACTCCTTGAATCCACACGACAGCTTCACTCCAACGAAACAAGGGTTCCGTTGGTTATAAACTACTATTCGAACCTATCAAGCCTGAATTTCATATTGAAACGCCATTTAAACATCCTACATGCCGACGATAAACTTAAAAAAAATATTTCCCGAATCTCCATTTGTCACATTTCGTAAGCATCGGAATCTTGGGAGGATGTTATGTCTCTCGCATATAAAAAAACCCAATTCATGCGGTGGTTGCGGTCCTTGCCTCAACACTCCTTCCCAACTTTGCCCGTTCGTTTCGACCGCTGATAAAATTTCGAGCGTAAATATTCTACGTATTCGAGCGTAAATATTCTACGTAAATATTAAACAGCATATCGGCTGCAAAACCCCTGATGTGATATATAATATTAACTGCACGCTGCGTAAGAAGCAATACATAGGAGAAACTAAAAATTATATGAAAGAGCGATTTTATTTCCATAAGTCTGACATTGTAAATAAAGGACAAACACCAGTAGCTAAACACTTTAAAGGGCCCCTGAAAAGGAAAAAAAAGTTTTTTTTAAACAGTCTGGTTGGGACACGCGTGTCAAAAAATGAATTTTACGCGAAAAAAAAAATTTTTTAGAGCAATATTGGCTGCGCCAGACGCAATTTAGTCGGTAGTCACCTCCTTTCCACTACTTCTCTCTCTCGGCATTTCGGGCGCGCGGAGGAGAGGTACTCCCCGCCCCTTCGTAGTGGATCGGCTTGGCTGCTTGGCTGCGCCCCGTACGAGAGCCATTGCTACTTCCTGTATCTGCCGGTCGCACGCCGTACCACGTCGTACCGTGAACGTACCGTGGTCACCGTGGTGCCGTGGTCGTGCAGACTAGACAGTACATAGTCGTCGCAATGGACCCTGACCTGAAGCGTCGGTTGCTTCAACGCTGCCAGGAATTGGGCCTTCGCCCGTACGAGGACACGCCTCGCCAGCCGGAAGGCGTCCGCGCCGATCACCGCGAGACAACCGCGCGCGAAGAATCTGCCGCGGAAGGCGGCGAAGCGGGTGCCTCGACGAGCTCGTCCGAGCCGCACGACCCTTCAAGCCGCCGCGAGGACACGCAGTGGTAACTGATATTTTTTTATTAAACGGTGAGTGCGGTGTCGCGTGCCTTCACTAATCAGCCACTAACTGTCCCTTTGGCTACCGTAACTGGCGAGGATGGCGATAAATGTGTTATGCTGGTATTGACTGGCACGATATTGTATGCTACAAGGTGCAGTTGCGGCCACTGCGTTGTGATGCCCACGACGCGAGAGTGCCTGTGCTGTCAAGAGGTCAGCCAGGTCACCGCCAAGGCCGGCAACAAGTGCATCACGCGCCACAAAGACTTTTTTGGTGCCATCCTGAACCCTGTCGTCCTCCAGATTGCTTATGGCATGAGGGCAATGGAGCTGCACGACGGGGAACTCCTCAGGCAGAGAACGGCCCATAAGTAAGGTTGAATATGCAGAATGTAGGCCTGCATGAATGTTTTTATCTGCAAGTTCGGCCTAGTCTAATCTGCTGGTTGATATTCAGTTGACTAATTCTCCCCGAGATCGCATAATTTTGTGACAATTTTATGCATGCATACTTCTCTTCCTTCCAACAGGAAATACAGGTATGTGGCATACCGTCAGTTCTCCAGGTGGATATGGCAGCGGCTTGGCAAAGGCAACAGGAAAGTCCTGCCCTCCTGTGTCATCCAAGCCATCCGAACTGCCTATCCGTCTGAAGTATATCGGGGGTTTGCGTATCCCGCTCTGTAAACGTATACAGAGCACAAGCTCTTCTGCTTCATGCACACAGGGAGTTATAATGTCAGTGCACCGAGAACTTGTTGGCTTATTGAAGAAAATAGTGGGTAGACCTCTAAGCATCTAGCATTGAGGTCTACCCACTGTTCTTTCTGACAAAGCCAATCTGAGCTCGGCGCCGTCCTCACGTCACCGCAACTCATGCCCAAGAAGCAGGCGACTTTCTTTCCGCGTTGGTTCCGCTAGGATCTACTGGACGACCTATTCCTACTGGACCATAACCCAATACACCGAATACAGATAAAAAACCTTTATTGCAATTTTCGCTAGGGCTAGCCACAGTTAACTTTTACTGCACTAGCAAGTTATCAAACCCCCATGAAGGTTTGCCTCCCCCCTAAGCACGGTTCATAGACCGCATTTCCCCCTCCACTAAGCCCGCAACAAAGAAGCTGCTACTGTGCCTGCATGCCATTGGTGTCTTCCGCTGGACTTGTACTCCAGTCATGTTACTGTACCTTCAGAGTGAACTGGTGTATTTTACGCAACAGGAATGCAGTGTTGCTGTGCTGAGGCCTATAGAAATAAAAGAAGTTGCAAGCTGATCGTTTTGTGACGTATTCTTTATTATCAAAATGAAAATGTTTTACATATATGCTGGGGAAGGGGTGTTTAGTATATAAAAAGGGAGGTTGTTTTAGTAAAGCCTCAGAATATTGGCCTCTGCATTGTAGGCTCCATTGCATAGTGGTCTATTGTTTCATCACTGGCACTGGGAGGGTTGGTTTTTTTTTGGGGGGGGGGGGATGTTGGGGATGTGAGAACATGCATAGTATAGCCACTCAAACTAGAGACAAAACAAGGGCAGGCACAAGAACATACAAATAATCAGTCACAGCTTATGTGCATGGAAGAAAAGTAATTGTAGAGAGAACCCCCTGTGAACTTGGGGTCTGCCTGCGACATAAAAAAAGGCACACACTGGCAGCAAACAAGAACTTACCTCTGCTGTAAAGAAAGCAACAATGCAACAAATTATTCGAATAAACGTGACTAGACAGAAAGCGAGGCAACAATGCATGCTGAAGAGACTGGCCGCCCTTGAGCTCCAAGGGAACGTTCAGGTTCCGAGCGTGCACCTGCAGCTTGCAGGGATAAAAAATATGCTTCGTTATCTTCCCTACCTCATGGCCAGTGACTAACGGCTGGCAGCGGGGAGGAGAGCCCTCTTGTGAACCTGGGGTCTGCCTGCGACATAAAAAAAAGACACACACAGGCAGCAAACAAGAACTTACCTCTGCTGTAAAGAAAGCAACAATGCAACAAATTATTCGAATAAATGTGACTAGACAGAAAGCGAGGCAACAATGCATGCTGAAGAGACTGGCCGCCCTTGAGCTCCAAGGGAACGTTCAGGTTCCGAGCGTGCACCTGCAGCTTGCAGGGATAAAAAATATGCTTCGTTATCTTCCCTACCTCATGGCCAGTGACTAACGGCTGGCAGCGGGGAGGAGGGCCCACTTGTGAACCTGGGGTCTGCCTGCGACATAAAAAAGGCACACACAGGCAGCAAACAAGAACTTACCTCTGCTGTAAAGAAAGCAACAATGCAACAAATTATTCGAATAAATGTGACTAGACAGAAAGCGAGGCAACAATGCATGCTGAAGAGACTGGCCGCCCTTGAGCTCCAAGGGAACGTTCAGGTTCCGAGCGTGCACCTGCAGCTTGCAGGGATAAAAAATATGCTTCGTTATCTTCCCTACCTCATGGCCAGTGACTAACGGCTGGCAGCGGGGAGGAGAGCCCTCTTGTGAACTTGGGGTCTGCCTGCGACATAAAAAAAAGGCACACACAGGCAGCAAACAAGAACTTACCTCTGCTGTAAAGAAAGCAACAATGCAACAAATTATTCGAATAAATGTGACTAGACAGAAAGCGAGGCAACAATGCATGCTGAAGAGACTGGCCGCCCTTGAGCTCCAAGGGAACGTTCAGGTTCCGAGCGTGCACCTGCAGCTTGCAGGGATAAAAAATATGCTTCGTTATCTTCCCTACCTCATGGCCAGTGACTAACGGCTGGCAGCGGGGAGGAGAGCCCACTTGTGAACCTGGGGTCTGCCTGCGACATAAAAAAAGGCACACACAGGCAGCAAACAAGAACTTACCTCTGCTGTAAAGAAAGCAACAATGCAACAAATTATTCGAATAAATGTGACTAGACAGAAAGCGAGGCAACAATGCATGCTGAAGAGACTGGCCGCCCTTGAGCTCCAAGGGAACGTTCAGGTTCCGAGCGTGCACCTGCAGCTTGCAGGGATAAAAAATATGCTTCGTTATCTTCCCTACCTCATGGCCAGTGACTAACGGCTGGCAGCGGGGAGGAGAGCCCTCTTGTGAACTTGGGGTCTGCCTGCGACATAAAAAAAAGGCACACACAGGCAGCAAACAAGAACTTACCTCTGCTGTAAAGAAAGCAACAATGCAACAAATTATTCGAATAAATGTGACTAGACAGAAAGCGAGGCAACAATGCATGCTGAAGAGACTGGCCGCCCTTGAGCTCCAAGGGAACGTTCAGGTTCCGAGCGTGCACCTGCAGCTTGCAGGGATAAAAAATATGCTTCGTTATCTTCCCTACCTCATGGCCAGTGACTAACGGCTGGCAGCGGGGAGGAGGGCCCACTTGTGAACCTGGGGTCTGCCTGCGACATAAAAAAGGCACACACAGGCAGCAAACAAGAACTTACCTCTGCTGTAAAGAAAGCAACAATGCAACAAATTATTCGAATAAATGTGACTAGACAGAAAGCGAGGCAACAATGCATGCTGAAGAGACTGGCCGCCCTTGAGCTCCAAGGGAACGTTCAGGTTCCGAGCGTGCACCTGCAGCTTGCAGGGATAAAAAATATGCTTCGTTATCTTCCCTACCTCATGGCCAGTGACTAACGGCTGGCAGCGGGGAGGAGAGCCCTCTTGTGAACTTGGGGTCTGCCTGCGACATAAAAAAAAGGCACACACAGGCAGCAAACAAGAACTTACCTCTGCTGTAAAGAAAGCAACAATGCAACAAATTATTCGAATAAATGTGACTAGACAGAAAGCGAGGCAACAATGCATGCTGAAGAGACTGGCCGCCCTTGAGCTCCAAGGGAACGTTCAGGTTCCGAGCGTGCACCTGCAGCTTGCAGGGATAAAAAATATGCTTCGTTATCTTCCCTACCTCATGGCCAGTGACTAACGGCTGGCAGCGGGGAGGAGAGCCCACTTGTGAACCTGGGGTCTGCCTGCGACATAAAAAAAGGCACACACAGGCAGCAAACAAGAACTTACCTCTGCTGTAAAGAAAGCAACAATGCAACAAATTATTCGAATAAATGTGACTAGACAGAAAGCGAGGCAACAATGCATGCTGAAGAGACTGGCCGCCCTTGAGCTCCAAGGGAACGTTCAGGTTCCGAGCGTGCACCTGCAGCTTGCAGGGATAAAAAATATGCTTCGTTATCTTCCCTACCTCATGGCCAGTGACTAACGGCTGGCAGCGGGGAGGAGAGCCCTCTTGTGAACCTGGGGTCTGCCTGCGACATAAAAAAAGACACACACAGGCAGCAAACAAGAACTTACCTCTGCTGTAAAGAAAGCAACAAAGTAACAATTTATTTGAATAAATACGACTGACAGTGACACCAAAAAAAGGCATGCTACAAACCTTGCCTTGCAAAGTTGGGTCGCTTCCTCTACTTCAGTGAAAACATGTTACACAGACAGACAATACACTCATGCACCTTGCAGGAAAAAGAAAATCTGCTCCATCCGTAGCATACCTTATGCCATAAACAAGTAACTGGTTGCAGTGAAGAGAGTGCCGTAGGTGGTTCAGATGAGCTTCTGAGATGATCTGCAGTGCAAATTTCAGTGTGAGCTACACCACACAATAGCCAGCAGCCACCGACTATTGTGGAAGGCAAAAAACTCGAGGTACACCTAAGCATTTCTTACGAGTTGTAAATGCGAAAGCATGCAAGCCGCTCCCTTTGTCGTCTGCTGCGTACTGAAAAAACTCGATCTTAGTCTTTCTTGTACAGTTATCGCACATTACGCCATCCTAATAAACATTGTCATCTTCTTGCTTGGCTTTTGTTCAAACATGGCGTACGGCTCGTCTTTCGCGCCGGAGTTCTATCACGTACTAGCGCGCGCGCGCTTCGGGAACTCGGAGGCCATGGATCTCGGAGGCCGCAGCGGCCAATGGGAGCTCCGTCGATGCACGCCAGTCAATGGAACCGAAGGCGAATCGCTCTTATTGGGGTCGCGGCAGAAACTAGGAGCCGTTTTTTGCGTTTCGGTCAGCTCGCTCCATGAGACCAGTTAATGCTTTCGCATTAAAACACAAAACAATCATCTGTGCCTTCACTTCGATGAAGGGGGGGCTACGCTTTTGTTATATTTTTGCTGTTAATCAAGCAGCCACGCTACCAGAAATGTTCACTACTCGTGTGAACATACCCGGCATGAGAGGCAAACCGGGTTCGTCTTGCCACAATCAGCTCGCTCTTGGGGGGCCTTGGATAGCTGGCACACATGGGCGGCGGATGGTCCGGCGGATTCGCAGCGACGGCCTCCTTCAAGGTGGGCCATTTCCCCAGGCAGACCATTAACTCGTCCAGGAGCTCGTCACGGTACTCTGCAAGTCGATATCTCGTGTCACGGTTTTGTCACCCACTGTTTCCACAATAACATACGAAAAGTTGCGTCGGCTGGCTTCGGGCGTGCCGTTGAGTGGCCCTTCCGTGATCTGGGTGTTGCGATCTTGAAGCAAAGCTCCCCTTCCCTGGTTGTGGCTTGCTCACGCCCGACATTTTCGTTGAAATGAAGCACAGCCACCAAGGTCCTACAATAAAGACAGACACAGCATGGGGCCGAATTAACGCAAGAGTATAAGGTTTCAACAGGGCACAAATTTCATACACTAAATGGAGTAGCACATTCAAATTTGAAAAGCTAGTCCAAACTTGATGATAAATTATGAAGCCTTGTTTACAGGGTGCTGGCTTGAAAACAACCAACGGAACTTTTGACCTTGCTCTGCTCAGGCTTGTCCTCCCAATTACAAGCAATGCACAACAGCAGAAGTGCGCAAAGTGGGGGTCGTGGGGCCTCAGGGAGCCGAGGGCACGTTGGCATTATTTCAGATATTTTACTAGCAACTTCCCAAGCAAGCCATCTTCAATACACTGCACTGCAAGCTTTACAGCATTGGGCGCGTTCAGTAGCGCCTCCATTGCCTCCGAACGGAGTGACTCGAGTCGGAGTCCTACTGAACGGCAAAAAAACCCGCGGCTCCAAACCCGCTTCTGCACAGTTTCTGCTTCCGTCCCTGTGCCAGACGGTCTCCGAATAAACTGGAAGCAGGCGATGGCGAGCACGATCGCTTCTATTTGACGCCGGTATTGAAGAAGCCTTGACAAGGTCGTTGAAGAAAAAGCGGGTGACTGTAGATATCAGTGCTGCTGTTCGAAGTGATGCAACGCGATCGAGCCCTTCGCTTGGCGGTGCAAAGGCAGCTACTGTTATAAAAGGCGACAAAAAACGTCGTCGGCACACGCAAAATAGAGAGCTCGGTGAATCTACGCCGCCGGTTGCGATACTTTTATACGGCCATACATTGTTCTGCCCTTCGTAACGAACTTCCTATAAAATGTATTCGTATACACAAGGGAAGTTCAGCCGTGCTCGGTTGGTCAGGAACTGAAAGCAAGTGCTGTGTGCCCTCTTCTAGCACTTCGTCGTCTCCCGCCTAACGCTTTCGAAATTTTTTGTTCACATTTGATAAGGAAGATTTTGTGACAATATACTATAGCAAATTTTTTTGAGAAATGGTCAACTGAATAGAGGAAGGAACCATTAGGCCAGTTTAGCTTTACCTTGCTTCCATCCCTTCTGGTGAAAAAACCCGAGATTTGGAGGCGAACCCTAGCAGCAGGCTGTTGAAGGCTTCCACGTAGTACGTCTGAGTTCCGGGGGACAGGTGCTGGATATCCTTGAGAAGCCGCGGGCTTGCAACGATACTCCTGAGCTTTTCGTAAGCTGGTGTACCTGAAAAATGTAGAGAGCGTGACAGTGTTAACCCGAACAAGTTGTTGCCGGCTTTTCTCAGACCTGAAAGGTTCTCATAGGAACTAATAGTGCAGCGAAAGCTGCTCATTAGGGGCTCTAAGTTAGGCAGCAAAACTGACCGCTTTTCAATACCCTGTTTGAGGAAAACATGGAAAAGCGCGGATGCCATGTTTGTGCTTACTGTGTTCTGCAGTGTACATATACAGCTATGTGACATCATCAAGGCATGTCCATTCTCCCTCCCCTCACCCCACCACATCAGAATCGCAGCACGGCTATGGTGAACAATGAACAAAATAGTTAACTCACCGACAGCTAGCCAAGCGCGATCGGAGAGCGGCTGGTGCAGGCACTCGTGGTAGGGTCCGTCGTGGCCGTCATGCTTGTTGACCACGTGGTTGAGGAGGCTCATCCACATGCTTACCATGAGTGGGCCATTTCCTTCCCCCAGTGCAGCACAGTGGTACAGGTGGTTGTTTACCGGCTGCACCCACACCTCCAGATCCTTGCAAGGGCCACTCCGGCTTGCTGCGAGGAGCTTCTTCTTCACGCCTTGGAAAGGGGGCATCTGTTATCCACAGCATGTAGGAACCCAGTAGGCAAACAACAATGTGCACAACAAACCTTTGGAGATGTGCCACGTGTCGAAGTAGTGCTTTGTGCCACTCTCCATGGTTCTCATGTGGCACTGCACACCTGGGTGGCGGTCTGCAGAAGAGGGATTGCGTGGTAGAGAGCCCAAAAGCATAGGCAGATTCGAAATTCTTCTGGTAAATTTTATATACCTGACATGAAAGAGGCAATGGTGAAGCCTTGATCCTTGAGCTTGGCAAGGCCGCGGAGGAAGGCCACCTTCTCCATGGCGTTGCTCGAGGGCACTTCAGCTGTCTGATTACAATATGTATACATTTAATGGTTCAGCAGTCGCTGTCAATGCCATATCTGTTGTTGTTAGCTGCATCAACCGGCAAAGACAGAAGGTCTGTCGTGTCTACCACTCTCTTTGGTTCACCCATAAATGCTCATTGCACTGACTAAATACATTTAAACTATACAATTTAACAAAAGATGAGGGATTGTAAATAAGAGATATATCAGTCCTACAGTAACCACTTTTGCCTTGGTTAGTAAATCTTACCTCACGAACTTGCACTTGCTCAATGTGGATCAGCTTCTTGGTGCTCGCCTCATGGAAGGTGTATGTGCAGTACTTGGCGCTGAACCCCGGAGAGTCGCAGCGGCCATCGCCAGCCAGATCAAGGTTCTTGCCTCGTAGTTCTTCCAAGAGCTCGCTGTTGCGTCGTTCGTACACCTGGCAAGCAATAATGGCATTTAAGTGGGTAAGACTGTCATTTCATTTTCAGAACCGCTTTCAGTACTAGCTGACCTGCTTCACCACAGGCAGCAGGTAACCACTCTGGTAGTAGTAGTACATGCGCTCCGTGATCATCGCAATGTTAAGTGACTCGAGCACCCTGAAGGTAGTCGCGACCTGGGCACCTGAAAAGAGAATGCCGGCACAAAAAAGAACATTTCCTGCTCCTTTGCCCCCCAGCATCGGTTGACTCCTCCACTTTCTCGTGTGCTTGTTCTCACAGGTGCTTGTCACTGTCAGCAGACTGCCTTTCACTACAGTGGTGTTGCGGCAAGGAGCAAGACACGTGTGGCACACCCGGAAGAGCTCCAGGAGCTGCCCCTCAAAAACAATGTACTTGCCCTCTTTCTGGGGTGGCACCTCTTCACGGTCCTGTTGATCACTAGAAATGTAAATTCAACTTTAATACACACTGGAATTTTTCGAAGACTGTTACCTCAGGAAGCTCTCATTTGCAGAGAGCACGTAGGAGCTGTCGGGTTCACCAGGCGCATCATAGTCGTCCTCCGTGTCATCGTCTTCAATGTAAGGATATTTGAAGTGATTAGGAGCTGGCATAGCATTAGTATGGGAAACACTGCTGAGACAGTGGTCTTCTGACAGATTTTTTTTCCAATGCTAAATTTTTGCCCAGCTATCATCTCAGAGCAGTCACACCAGCAAAGTAACCTGGATGCTTATCCTTCTTTAAACAAATTTCTGTGTAAACACCTCCGGTGAAGTAGCCCCTTCTCGCATTGTACGAGTCATGCGGAACTCCTCACCCAGGCCCACGTCGCTCGCAGCTTGAAAGCAGAGGTCTGAGCCCTCTTCCATGTCGGAACTTGTTTCACTGTCCGAGTCACCGGAGTTATCTGACATGTCCTCCAGCCCATCGTTGTCCTCTGCGTACCAAGGCATATTCGGCTCATCGCCAGAACTTACCTGCTCTGCACTTTGGTCGTCCTCAGATGGTTTGGGTGTGGAGCTGCGACGGTTAGCGACTTCACTGGTAGGCTCGTTCGGGGCTCCGAAGCCGGGGGCCGTGCTGGGGATTGGCGATGGCAGCCGAGCCTTGGTAGCTGTGGCAGGTTCGACTGGTCTGGGCGCTCCTGGGGACCCTGCATCTGGTTGTGGTGCGAGCACAGCGGCGTTGCACCCTTGGTCGACCGATGACACTAGAGATGCAATACATAATCCAAGCTTAGTATGAAGTCTACAGAAAAGACTGTCAACATGCTGATGCATTGCCAAAATAATTAAGTTAATTAAATACTCTGTCATACTCACACACTGGTGTCAGAGGGTCAACAGTGGCCGTTCCTGTAGCGCCTGTCGTGCCGGGGACTGGCAACAGCACCCGAGCCTTGGTAGCTGTGGCAGGTTCGACTGGTCTGGGCGCTCCTGGGGACCCTGCATTTGGTTGTGGTGCGAGCACAGCGGCGTTGCACCCTTGGTCGACCGATGACGCTAGAGATGCAATACATAATGCAAGCTTAGTATGAAGTCTACAGAAAAGGCTGTCAACATGCTGATGCATTGCCAAAATAATTAAGTTAATTAAATACTCTGTCATACTCACACACTGGTGTCAGAGGGTCAACAGTGGCCGTTCCTGTAGCGCCTGTCGTGCCGGGGACTGGCAACAGCACCCGAGCCTTGGTAGCTGTGGCAGGTTCGACTGGTCTGGGCGCTCCTGGGGACCCTGCATTTGGTTGTGGTGCGAGCACAGCGGCGTTGCACCCTTGGTCGACCGATGACGCTAGAGATGCAATACATAATGCAAGCTTAGTATGAAGTCTACAGAAAAGGCTGTCAACATGCTGATGCATTGCCAAAATAATTAAGTTAATTAAATACTCTGTCATACTCACACACTGGTGTCACACAATCTACGGTGCCAATTCCTGTAGTGTCCGTCTGTGTGCCAACGGTTGCACGAGGGGCAGAACACCGGGAGCAGTAAGCCTACAACACAATGCAAGGGAGGCTGAGTGCAATATAATGCTCCTGCACACAGAGTCAACTCTATTTGGGCCAGCTGAGAAGTTGAGCAACCTACAGAAAAGTAAACATTTGCAGCTGCTGTCTGTGTGCCTGATGCATATAAAAATCTGCTCTCAAAATCAATGAAAGGGTTGAATGGCCACAGTAAAAAATGTCACCAGAATGGTACAAAGGCTTCGTACATCTGGTCCAGCTCCTTGACTAGCATCGCAGGATCCATGTGCAGCCGCTTGCCCTTGCCACGCTTCTGCCGGTTGCTGCGCGCAAGATAATTGTAGTAGAACATGCAGCTTGCACCCAATATACATTGCACACTGGGAAGCGGTAGAAAACTCACTGAAATGGAGCCTCCAGCAGGGCTGTCACTGCGAGACGCAGCTGCTAGCCTTTTCAGTTTTGATCCCCTTGGCAGCTGGTTGGAATACATATAAAAGAAGATGTATTGATGTATTATTGATATTTCGTTTAGTGGAGAATCTGGTTGCCACAGAAGGCCACTGATGGTAAGCTGTGTTTGCAACTTCTACCTTATGTAAAAGTTACGCAGTGAACCTCAGTTAGCAGCGTTACAACGATTTGCAGTTGCACGCACAACAGTTTGAAAAAGCGACAATGTAATACTAGAAGCTCTATCATAGCGAAGTAGACAATGAAGTTTGACTGAGTCACTTACCAATGATGTTGCACTTGCTGCTGTTGCCGTCGGTAAGAACAGCGTAGGGATCGCCCCGCGTCTCAGTTGCAGACGTCCCGTGACCTTTGTGCGCGTCTTGAAAGCATCCGGAGCGAAATGTCGCGAGCATACCCGAAGAACTGTGTCGCTAGACGAACCCCCGATTGCCTCCAACCAAGTAGCTCTCAAATGATCTGGGACAGCAAGGCTGCTGATACACTCGGCATCGCGATCACTAGGCTTGCAGCAACTGACGGAACAGCGCCGTCGCTTTACGGAAACCGACATCGCCGCCGCTTTACAAAAACCAACATCTCAAAAAAAAAAAAAAATATTGGCACTGGCGCGCACTAGCAAACAGATAAAAGATGGGGTAAACGGGACACACGAATCACGCAAAGAGCAGAAAAACAAAAAAACCTGGCACCCCGCGCAACTTCCTAAGTACTTACGATGACTAACTAACACAAGCAACAAGCTCTCTTCAGGAGGTCTTCACATATAAACGCGATAAAACTATAAAACCACCCGAGGTACACGACGTACGCGAGACGCGTTACGAGACGGCGACCATGACAGAAAACAAAATGGCGAAGCTTCTGTTTGTTCCGATATCCGAACGGAAGTTACGATTTTGTAGAACGTTTGGAAACAATTACGACGTTCATTCAATGGACTGTTTCTTAAACCTAAAAATATGTAATTCAACAGGCGATTTCAAAAAATTACGAAGATTTTAAAACCAACATCTAAGCTGTCACTCATTCTATTGGCCAATGAGAAGCTGAGTTGAATGACCATCACTACCAATGAGAAGCCGAGCTGAATGACCATGGAATTTGCGCGCAAAACTTCAAATAAATCTCTCGCCGTCAATATTGCTCTAAAAATTTTTTTTTTGCGTAAAATTTATTTTTTGACACGCGTGTCCCAACCAGACTGTTTAAAAAAAACTTTTTTTTCCTTTTCAGGGGCCCTTTAACTCCGACGACCACGACATTCATACGCACCTAAAAATTATCATCGTGGAAAGCAGTCTCAAAAATGTTATTACGCGCAAAAATAGAGTCCTTTTATATATCTAAATTTAAAACCCTAACCCCGCTTGGTATGAACATTTCAAAAGGAAACTTGTATAGGCTGTTGTAGGTCTTTAGTTTTTAGTATACTACAGGCAAACCACCTCCCCCATCGCAGAGGAGAGCGGGGGAGAGCTAAAGCTCTTTGAGGGGAGAGCTAGAAACATTGGGATGTGGGGACGTCGCCCGGTAACTTCCCTCCTCTTCCTTTTTTTTTTTTTTTTGCGGGGAGGAGGGAGATTGTGTTGGGAGGCGTTTTAAGGAGAATTTCTCGGTATTCTGTTGAGCGGTGCCACCCACGTGTGACATTTCTGGTGTCCGTTTACACACACTTCGGGCTTATTTATGACCTTCGTTTGCTTCGGCGTTATACTGGCTTGGGCTCACTCGACTTCACCCCTGTATGTTGTTATTTTTCTGGATCTGGAGCTCTAACTCTAACTTGACGGAGGCCGTTGCCTGTGATGTATTTTCTTGGTTTCGCTAACGAGTGCCGCGACCGTGTTACCCTTAAAACTACTACTTCTCTATTTTTTCTTTTTATGTGTGTTTTGTTGGAATGTAGTTTTTTCATGCTCAAGTGTTTTTACTTGTGCTATTATTTATATGACCTTTTTCTTCCGCTTTTTTCAATGTTCCTCCTCTCCTTGGTCTCTCTAAAAGCGCCTTGAAACTCTATTTTCTGCACACTTGAAGAAGGGAAGTCTCTTCCCGAAACGTCGTGTATTAAAGCCTCTACTGCTGTTCAAACATTTTTCTACGCTTGATGCCAGTTTGCTCCATTTACATACGTCCTAATCATCCTCTTACTCGGGACGAACTTGAGTGTCTGTATGACCAACTCCCACGACCCGTTTGAATCCTTGGAGATTTTAATGCTTATAACCCTATATGGGGTAGTGGAAGATGTGATACGCGAGGATCAATGATTGAACGATTTATTTCTTCTACGGGGTCATGCTTGTTCAGCAACTCGCAGGCTACATTTTTTAGTGCTCCAACCCGCTCATTTATCTCCATTGACCTTTCGCTTTGTGACCCAACATTGTTCTTTCTCTTCTCATGGGGGGTCAATCCTAAGCCATTTGGATGTGACCATTTTCCCATAATTTTAAATCGCATTGGGCGACCGGTTACACTTCCAATGCGTACACCCCGTTGGAAGCTTGACGAAGCAAACTGGTCAGTTTTTAAACAAGCATCCCTTTTGGTGTGTACATCTCTCCATGAGCTCTCCATTGATCGCATAACTGAGCATATCACCAAGCATATTTTAGAAGCATCAATCATTGCCATACCCATGACATCAGCACATCTTCCCAAGAAACCGAAACCATGGGGGAAAAACGACTGCCGCATAGCAAAAAAGAAACAGAACAAAGCTTGGGGAATTTTCCGCCGATGCCCTACACAAACTAATCTCATCACCTTTAGGATAATGAAATCTCGCGCTCGGTCGATTTGCAGGAAGTCTAAGCGAGATAGCTTCAAGGGATACACATCTTCCATAAACAGCATTGTTTCGTGCAAAGAGGTATGGGACCGACTTCATAAGATCAATGGCTGCTACCGCGCATATTCTATCCCTCTTTTGACTAGACATGGAATCTGCCCCAAAAGTATTGAGGAGCAAGCTATTCTTGTAGGAGAGCATTTTGAGTATGTCTCAAGCTCTGATCATTATACGTCAGCTTTCATTCGGCATAAACTCCACGCTGAGAAAACGTCTATAAGTACCTCAGGAGGCAATCAAGAACCTTATAATGTACCATTTACACTACATGAATTTGAGGCAGTATTGCATAGTCCCAAGCAGACTGCCCCTGTCCCTGATGGTATTCACTACACTATGCTATGCCACCTACATCCCTCAACGCTTGAACTCATTTTGTACTTATTCAACCGTGTTTGGTCGAAGGGTCAGTTCCCGTCGTCTTGCAAGGTGGCCACTGTCATTCCAACAAAATGGTGAGTTGGGCCAGTTGGTTCATAATGGGAAAAGACAAGCGCCGAAAGACTAGGACAAGGTAAGAAGACGACGACACAAGGCGCACTCGCAACTGAAGATTTATTTATGGATACATGGTCTTATAACCACTTTTAAAAAACACCCACGTCACTTTCCACGTGCCCACTCTTTATCCAAGAATAGACGTTCTTTTTCTGACAGAGTCA